TGAATTAGGTGCGCTGAATCCGAATCTGGCAGCGGAATTACTCTATCTCGTCAGGTTTTTGAGATATCCTAACCTAAAAGTGCAAAAAGCACTGTTTTTCGTCATATTTGAGGTTATGTAGTAATGCCATCTACTTCATTCATTTATTTTCAAAAAACTAATATATTGAATTTAAAAGTACAAGGATCCCTCCTTCGAATGCCGTTGAGTTTGCTCAAATATCTTTTTTTCTTCGTTAAGATATCATGTTGAAATTTTAGTTGAAGTTTAAAATCTACTAAGGATCCTTTAGACATCAAGCAGTCGATTGCAATTCAAAAACTTCATACCCAGAAACCTTCAATACATACCAACTCAAACCCACAAACCCCAAATCCAGAAACCCACAAACCCCAAACCAAAAAACCCGAAGCTACACACTCCAAGCTTACAATTTGGGTTTGTGGGTTTAGAGATTGTGGGTTGACCCCAGGTTTATGGGTTTGTGGATTTGGGATTTGTGCGTTTGTGGATTTGGAGTTTGTGAGTTTGAGTTCGTATGTATTGAAGGTTTCTGAGTATGAAGTTTCTTAACTGCAATCAACTGTTTGACGTCTAAGGGATTCTTAGTAGATTTTCGCATATTAAGTAACTGATAAACTTAGAAATCTCAGCGAAAAAAAAAGATATTTGAGCAAACTCAACGGCATTCGAAAGAGGGAGCCTTGTACTTTTAAATTATACGTATTTTTTTTAAGCAGATTAGATGGCATTACTACATAACCTCAAATATGACAAACAATAGTGTTTTTTGCACTTTTATGTTAGGATATCTCAAAAACTTGACGTAATAGAGCAATTCTGGGGCCAGATTCAGATTCAGCGCACCAAAATCCTTCGGGAATGCATAATAGTGTGTCTGCTTCTTGACCCTTGTTGGCCTGTGTTATTATTATGTTAATTTTTGCTGGTACTTATTACTATGTACTATACCTAAGTATACATATATTTTATGGTAAGTTCCAAGTGAAACGTTTAGTGTAGAAAAATAGACATTGCCCCTTTTTGTTTCATGCTATTATACAAATGCTTGTAGTATAGAGAGTGCAGTTTAAAAAGGCAACGCAATGGTTGTGTCACTCTTTGTATGAATAAAATTTCATAAAAGAGAACCATGCCAAAGCCAGCCCTGTACCATATTGCAGCCGCCCATCCTAACATTTTCGATAGGACTTAATTTATGATAAAATTTATATCGCCTTTACCTACTAAAAAATAGCATTGGGGTATTTTAACACAATCATTCGTATAATCAATTTAATGTCTTTGCTCCTTGACCACTATGATTTCGAGGCTTCTAAATAAAAAAAAACTGCTTCTAAATAAAACTAAATTTGTTATACACTCAACATACTGCAGATTTCAAGTATCATTTGCAAATTACGACAAGGCGAAAACACACGCGCGTTCTTTATTAGTATTTTCTAAGAAGAATAACTTCAGAAGTGATTCATAAATGGTCGTGAACTCTTCAAACTCTAATTTGACAGAAATTATTACTGTTTTACATGTACTTTATACAAGAGGACAGCTCTATTAACAGTCTGGGTTCAGTGAACTACTAAATATCTGAAGAGTTTTGTTATCATAAACGATGGTAGGTTCTACCCACAAAAATCATAGTGACTGACACTGAAATAATAGCTTCATTAAATCTTGCTCATTTAAATAGGGATTTGAGAAGAAAGTCGAATCTGTATAAACATTACCTACGTGTTTCTCAAAATCCGAAATGTTTCGTTACCTCAAAGTAACATTGTGGGAATGGTCTCTTGGTTAATGCCTGGGGATCTTAAATGGGAAGTGACTATTCTTTTTGGAATGAGAATATTTCGGTACGGTTGTTAGCATTGAAAAACATAATTAGTTCAACGACATGGTGGTACAAAGTTGAAGAGGTGATTACTGAATTAAAATCAAAGAGAATGCGGCAATTTTCTTTTGACAAGCTGTCAACCGCTACGAGCACTTAAATTAGGTAATTTGGGATAATTCGCCACATTTCTTTTTCTTTTTCAGAGCAAAATGTTAGATGACCGTTACCTAAGAATCATGTAATACGTCGTGCGAACTTTACTAAAACGGGGAATAAAGAAGTAAAAATGATCAAAAGTAGTAAAATTTATTGTTGAAATGAATTAGTTAAACTAATCAGTCAATAGAATGTCAAAATTTGGAAAAATTTTTAAAGTAAACACTTCTAAATATTATTTTTAATCATGCAAACTGGGGCAGCATTTGCAATGGTCATTTTAGATAATCATTGCTGGTGAATCATCGAAATGAATGAAATTTGAACCATGCGAATAGGAAATCAACGAAAGTAATCATCTAGGATGACCAATGAATGCAAGTAGAACTTGTACTTTTTATTTGTCTGAAATATAAATACAAAGACCACTGCGGTGATTCGAAGCGACTACAATTCCTTTTTTAAAGGGAATGCCATTGTAAATAATAGTAGTTTTTAAATGGAAATATGAGCATATGCCAAAAGTTATTGATTAATACTGCTTTAAGGACAACCAGCCCTTTGGAATAATAAAGCCAATGAGTATAAATATTAAATTTAGAGGAAATCTAGACGATGTAAATATTAAATCAGTGTCAGAAAATGAAACATTAATTGCTGCGAAAAAACTGATAATCTAAATGACTTCTGTTCCAGACAGCATACCATATTTTTGGTGAAGGACTGTATAAGTGTTCTGGTTAAACCTCTTCCAATTCGATTGAAGGAAGCCACAGTATCTCCGTTGTCTAAAACTGATAATAAATCTTAATTAAAGGTCTGTTTCTATGTTATCAAATTTTTCTGAACTTTTTGAAGTTTACAACAGAATTAATCCACTGGTTCCTTTCAGAATATCAACACGGTATAATAAAAAATAAACGATCCATTGTTACTAGCTTAGCAATTTTTTTTAAATATATTTCTGACAGGTGGATGTAGCCTACACAGACTTCTCAAAAGCTTTTGGTCGCGTTGATCATCTCATCTTAGTTGAAAAACTAGTATGTTTGGCTTTAATCCAGAATTAATAGTTCCTCAAATCTTCCGTACTTGGAAGGTTGCAGTTGCTTGGAAGTTATCTTATAATGAATTTCACCCTCAATTATCTTATCTAAATGTCTTGCTTTTTTCTTCATTCATTGATGATTTAAGCTAACTTATATTGTCACACAAGTTAAAATAATGTCCAAGCTTGGAGTAACACAAATAAATTATCTGTAAATGCATCGAAAAGTAAAAAAATAATTTACACGAAAAAAATAAATTAACTTTCATTTAATAATCGCATAAACTTTTTCCGAGACAATAAAATATTTTCATTGTTAAGAGCAGTAAATGTTTTATCATCAATTTATTAAAAATTTTCCTCTCGTATGTACTAAGTTAGAATATGGGCATGTCATTTGGTACCCGTTATGTATTTCATAATCACGCAGTGAAAAAAGTGCAAATGAGATGTTTAATTATTTGACTCTTAAGGTTGATGATGAATATACTGTAAGAGGAAAGCATTATAATTATTTAACAAATAATGTTTAATGTTTATTTTTTTAAAGTTGTAAAATGTATACCTTTAAAGTTTTCATATCTCTAATATTGTTTGTGGTGTGTATGTATAATAATACCTATAATATGTGACTTGTCTTTATGCAGTTGGTATTGTAGTACTATGTATAATTTTGGCTACTGTATTATGCTTATTTGTGTACTCAACACTTGCTAATAGTTTGTAACACGATATTTCATGATAGTTTCGGGAAATAAATGGAATTTTTTGTATTTACCACTTGTGCTTGTATCTTCCTTTAGAGTATACTTTTTATAGGCATTTGTGACTTGATCCTGAGTTTTAAGAATAAAACCCTCAGTTTCAGGATACAACTGCCCTTGCTGTAGGAATGGATATCTCTATGAGGAAGGTGGTACTGTTTTTTTATTTATGAATGTTATGTATTATTGTTTAGTCTGTAATAATAATTTTCTAATATATTTTGCAGTATGTATTCGTAATAAGGTGTATATGTGTCCTATAGTTTATGTTTTACAACTAATCCCTGATGTATTTGTTTTGCTATGTTGTCATATTCTTTTTATATGGGTATATGAATAACAGTTTTTTTACGCCAGTCGAAAAACCACTTTTCCATAATTTTGACCATTGTTTTAACAAAGTTTCCCAACTAGTCTCGAGTAGATTTTTTGATATTTTGTTTATAACACGTTTCTGAACAATATTCCGCAGATAAACTTCTAATAGTATTTTTTTCCCGAAAAAAAAGCTATAATGATTGGCCTATACCCGATGTATTTGTGTATATTATTGCTTTACAGATGTTACTTGTTTTAATTTAATTCTAAAACATTTCTTACTTTTGTTAGTTTTCATAACACTGTCTTTTTCAACAAAAATACGTATCGTTAAGTTTGACCTTTAAATTCATAGTCAACTTTTGAATTTTCGGCGATTTTAAACACAAATTTTCTTGTCTCTTAGCAAAAATATTCAATTACACAAAAAATGCCACAAATAATTAATTACAAACATCATCTAGTAACCACATATATTTCTGTTCTTATAATTCTACTAATCAAACCATCTACCACCGATCCGTACGTGCAACCTTATAAGGAAATAAAATTAAATCATCAAACTATTAAACGATTTAATTCCTTCTCAAAATGGCGAGGTCGTTCACCTCTTTGTTTAAGCAACACGGCTGGTGGATCCTAGATCAGCGTAAATAAATGAATAAATGGATTTTTGCTATACACCAGTTCCGGTCGCAAAACCACTTGAACCGGTCCTGCTGAAGCCGGGAGTAGGCGTGGGGGAAGTAATTTTATGTGGCCGCTGACAAATAAAACAAAAAGATTATAAAAGTTTGAGACAATATCGCTTACGACAGTCCGATCACTGATACCTGCTACTAGTGTAAGTGCCTTCACAATGTGTCACGATACGAAATCCGAGCAAAGGTGAGTGAGATTGTCAAACGTAAGGCATATATGAATTTGCTTCATTCTGTATATGTTTCATTTACATATATTTCACTTAAAGGACGTTCAATAGAATTTTTTGATAAGAAGTTTGTATTATTTTTTTTAATTTCGTAATAGTGTAGAAAATTTGTAAAAATAACACTTTTCCAAAATTTTGTTTTTGCTGAAACGCATATCATAAAGTCCCAACTGAAAAATAATATCGTTTTTGAACATACTTACATGCTGTAACATATGTATAAATTTAAAGCAATTTTTTTTATTTGTGGTGTGTTAGTTTTATTTCAAGTGAACATCATTCTAACATACAACTACTGTAGTTTTTTAAATTTATTTAGAGCATATTTGATTCTTATTGCACTCATTTTATTCCCACCAAAGTACATTTTTAAAAACTTTCTAGAAATATTGTGCATATCTCTTATTTTCAAATAGAATTATAAATAGAAATAGAACACAGGAAAAAAAATTTTTCAGCTTAGAACAATAATAATCTCTATTTCTATCCTTATTTCAAGGTGTACTATATTGAAAAAAATTGTAAAATTATATTGGGCATTTTAAGACTGTTAGCTTGCATTTTGATTTGATTTTATTTATCCCTGTTTGATAATACCAAAATTTCATTTCCATAGAACATAAAGAGTATTCACTTTCGTATGTACAATTTTTGAAAAGCACCATATTTGGAATGTCCTATACAGGGTGTCACAGGATATGTGGGCAATCTCTCAGATAATCTCTATGGAGATACAAGCCCTGAAAATCAATTTTTTTTTTAATAACTTTCAAAATACTTTGTGTAATTTAATTATTTTTTAATACGTTGAATAACAGATAAGACACCTTAATAATCACAGGCCGACAAAATTTCAAAAAAAAAAAAATTCCAGAAATCAGACACTATGCTTCCGAAGACATTTGGCGCGCTGAATCCGAATCTGGCCTCAGAATTGATCCATCACCCTAGGTTTCCGAGATATTCTAACCTAAAAGTGTAAAAAACACATACTTTTGCTATATTCAAGGTTATGTAACTTGGCGAAAAAAATTTTTTTCTCAAAACTGAAAACATCATTGGAAACGACTATCTTTCCCCTTCAAAACGCATTTTTTTATTTGGAAAAAGCTCTATTTTTCGCGGAGATATCGTCAATTTAAGATGACCAGTATGGCTATATTATTACATCATGGCTAACCCCATAACACTGAGCGCTGCTAGCCCTAATTGTTAGGAACGTTAACCCCAAGCCCTATAACCCCACAACACTAAGCGGAGCGAGCCCTCATCGTCAGGAAGGTTAACTTCAAGCCCTATAACCCAATAACACTAAGCGCTGCGAGCCCTAATCGTCAGGAAGGTTAACCCCAAGCCCTATATGTCTGGAAGGTTAATCCCAAGCCCTATAACCCCACAACACTAAGCGCTGTGAGCCCTAATCGTCAGGAAGGTTAACTTCAAGCCCTATTACCCAATAACCCTTAATACCCATTAATTGTGTTATAGGTCGAGCCATGGTTTAATAAGGTAGCTATACTGATCATCTTTAATCGACGATATCTCCGCGAAAAATAAAGCTTTTTACAAATAAAAAAATGCGTTTTGAAGGGGAAAGATAGTAGTTTCCAATGATATTTTCAGTTTTGAGAAAAAAAATTTTTTTCGCCAAGTTACATAACCTTGAAAATAGCAAAAATACGTGTTTTTTGCACTTTTAGGTTAGAATATCTCGGAAACCTAGGGTGATGGATCAATTCTGAGGCCAGATTCGGATTCAGCGCGCCAAATGCCTTCGGAAACGTATTGTCTGATCTCTGGAATTTTTTCCTTGTTGGCCTGTGTAATTGACCCATAAAAATAATTTGGCTTATTTGGTTTGCCAGGGGCGGACTGGCTGTCGCAAAATAATGTCAATTTTTTCACACCCTTTACGATAAAGGCACAAAAATATTTTTAGATAGCCTGAACCTTAAACTAAAAAAAACACTCTTGGTTGATAAAATTAAGTGATTTCAAGAAAAACAATTTTTGTTTAATATGATTTTTATTGCATCCACGTAAAGAGAAGTAAAGCCATAATTGCATTATTTCTGTGCCTATCTAAAAAAATACTACTTTTATTTACATTTGTTTTTTTTCCCGGTACTTGATACAAACAAGTCGAGTACTAATAGATGAGGTCAAAATAATAACAGTTCTTCATATATTTTTTATTAACTTCAACATGATGCAAATTTGGTGACCGATAACACATGCCTATAGCTTGTTTTTGTAAATAAAACTTCATTATGCCCAGAACGCCAAGGACGGACTATGCCCAATGGTTACCAACCCTGAATTTTTGCATAGACCATAGCAATCTACCTATTTCAAAAATAAGTTCCTTGAACAATTTGCCAACGATAATACCCTCTTGATTCAACTCGGTAAAATTAACAGTTTAGGAAATATTTGTGATTTTATGTCACAGTGGACATTGAGCGGCGCCTCCACCATTATTTGTTTTTAATTTTTAATTTGACTAATTACTATGTTAGAACCGTACATATTTTTAAAATAAGAGCCTAGAAAATTAGCCTTACCGTCTGGTAATGTAATTTTCACTAACAAAATTTGACTAAACACACTTTGCACATAACACAAAATAGAAAAACGAAACAAGAATAAGTTAAATTAAGTTAAAAAATAATTTAACAGAAAGAAAATTTTTAAAATATATTTTCAATATGGGCACCTTCCGTAATAGTTTAAATAACTAGATGGATTTCACAGGGTCTAACGACACTTACAGTGTACGATAATTCAATAAACAAAGAAATCTAAAAATAAATTTGAAACGAATTCACTGAAGATGAAATTTCGAGACAGAACGTTTGAATCTGGTTCGGGCTAAAGCAGTACAGTATTGGGGGTTATGAGGCTTGCAAAAAATGTAATGAAATTTCTAGGGTCGTATTTAAAAAAAGTGAAGTTGGTGATGGTCCTGAAGAGACGAAACGTTACTTACAAAAATTTATTATACCATTCGATAGAGGGCAAAAAGTGGCCTTGAGAAAGTGTTTTTCTTGTTTCAGTATCACCTCAAACAACGCTGAAATTTCGGTTTATTTCAAATATTTCGAAAACTAATTATGTCAGCCTTGGTTTTTTAGAGGCATAATGTTAGTCCCCTGATTACACAACTTTGCCCCCATTTAAGGTTCTTCTTACCTCTTACAGTTTCCGAGATCCCTGTAGTGAGAAGCGAATTTTTAACAGCCTGTATAGGCACACTGTATAAATATTTAAACATAAAAATATAGGCATCTATATTTTGAAATAAGCTTTTGTGGGTTTAAAATGGAATAATTAGATATTTGTTAGAACTTACAGAGTATGAGAGAAATAATGTAATAAACTGTTAAATCAATCAATTTTAAGATATTTAACAATATGTAAAATTTTCAATTTTACCTAGAATTACTGGTGTTGCAATAAACTCTACACACGATTCTTAACAGGAAGTTTTGGCTGAGTTAGAGATCATTTTTTTTATAAAGGTTGAATAATTTAAAAGAAAAATGTATTGTCCTTAACAATATGTTTTTCTTTATTTCAACTGGTACTATCATCCTACAAAACTTATTACATTATTTTCCTGATACTCTGTATATTTATTATTTTCCTGATATTCAGTACATTTTAATGTTTTTTCTAGTACAAAACTGTAACAAATCTTTTTTCTCACAAATATCACCCTTCAAAATTATGCACACAAAATTTGTCACGAATGCGCTAAATTTTGAAAATTGTACCTTTATTGTATGATCTCCTTATTCCCTCCGTTATCAAAGAAAAATAGTCAGCGGTTTAATTTGAAACAAGAAAAACACTACAGCAGACTCCCAATGCAAAGACCCTCGTACAAGTTCAACAAAGGAAATTGACGAAATTTTATTATTACGTTCTTTTTCGTCCCTTTCCGTTATCGAGAGTACTAACAGAGACAGGGGCACGAGAATTTTCCTGAAAGCAACTGTAAATTTAAAAAAGAATATTCTTCCTCAAACCAATTAAGTCTATTAGCCTATCCATAGCCAAGTCACGTTTTCGTACATGTAAAATTCATGCCGCGACAAAAAGATCCTGAAAAAGAAATCAGGCTAACAATTTATTCTACGGGTTAAAAATTATTGGGTATACATACTACAGTTTTTAAATTATTTAAGGCAAGAAGCAAGGTCATTGTTATTGTTGTTTTCATAATTTTTTCCAATCAGTTTGCTTTTTGGATCCCATTTACATTTCTCATTTCATCAGAAATTATAAACTAGAATATTTTTAACACCTACCAACTATTTTTAAGCTTATAACAACTCTATAACTTGATAATTTTCTTTTTTTTTCAGTACTGATGATGACAGCGACATTTTGCACAATAACAATAATGCTCAGTATCAACCCCTTCAAACTATTAAGAAACAGAAAAAAAGTGAAACCCGGAGAAGAATTTTAGCACAGGTAAATAAACAATAATCAGCGATATCATATAAATAGGAAGTGTCCCAATTTTTAGATTTAGAAACCATTATCATAAGTAAAAACAACTGTGTTTGCATGAAAATATAATTTCATGAAAATTGAAAATTTTAAATCCGTTATTACTTTATTAGATATTTTTTTAAATGGTAATACCCATCCTTTTTTATGAAATCCAATAAACTTTATTCTACACAGATTACAATATCATATAAATTTCGCACAGATCACCCGTCTTTAAATTTATTATACAAGTTTGAAGATTTTCCTGGTATATTACAATAAATTATTTTATTACTTTATCTTTCATTATTAATTTTTTTAATTAATTAATGCCAAAAAATAGACATTTGTAGACATAGACACAGTAACTAAACCATGGTTCAGAAAAAAATGCCTGTACAATTTTTCAAATACCTACCTAAAAATAAGGACAAGCTTTACAAATATCAATAAGAGAATTATTCTTTTCTAAATTAATATCCAAATGTGACTATTTGCAGTTTTGTTATAATAATTTTTATTTATCCTTTCATAATTAATCCTAATAAATAAGATTACTAATAGAAATTTCCTGGAACACCTATAAATTGAGATAGATGAAAAAAAATATATGATTTATTCTGCTTGTATTCAGCTCTACAAAAATGTAGGTTTTAGTGAAACAGCATATAGGGTGTGTGCTATTAAGAAATTATTAGAAACATAGTCATTGATTTTAACTTCAGAACCCAATAATACACTATGTTAATTAAGAAATACATAAATAGTGTTTTCTTTTTGCTCTTAATGACACCAAATTTTTGAGCAGGAATTTTACATTCTGACGAATTTACTAGGTTAATAATAACCTCTAACGTATTTTTGTTTATAAAAAATTAAGTAGGTCTTAACGACAAAATAAAAAAAAATGTATAAGCAATGTGAGTTTCTCGTATATCAATCAAATTTTATGAAGAAAAGTTCTTTGAGTTATAATTAATTCCCATGTTCTAAATTTAAAACCAATCATCGTCTTACTTTGATTTTTAAATCTCTCCAACTTATGAAGCTAACAAATTGGGAAAAAGTTTTATTAAAAACTTAAAAGTATATCAAAATCCCAAATTTGTTGACATCGATTAAAATAATTGAAGTTTAGCGATTTTTCTATGTAGGCATATACTTTTATTGCGAATAACTTTTCTTAATAACACTTTATGATAAATTAAATGAAAAAGGTATTTTACATACACAAAAAATTATCTTTTTCTTTTTACCTAATAGGCCTACTTAATTTTCGAGAATCACAAATGACTATTTAATCATAACAGTAATAATTTCACAAAATGCTAAAATTTTAGTTTAACAACATATTTAACAACAAAACATATTAATATTGGAAACAGATTAGTTATTTGTATGTTGTCTAATGTATGTACATACATATGTAGTTACGAATATTAACTGTGTTTAAAAAAATATTCTTAGAGGACACCCTGTTTAATTGGTCTGCGTAAAATCACATTTTTGTACATTTGAACACAAGCTGAATTTTTCACAAAATGAAAAATTAAAGTGTAAAATAAAAATATTGCAATATCTCATACAGCAAGCCTCAAATCAAAATATGTGGTTTCAGCCTAACGTGATCTTTACCCCGCACAATTCGTTTCATTAACTGTTGTTTAGTTAGTATTGGTACCATATAAAAGAAATTTTTCATAAAATCCCAAAAATGAAAGTCTAACGTCGACTAAATTGATGTCGCGTATCCACAAAAGTTACAATATCTCGTACCTACATCGAGCCCCAAGTCAAAATCTTAGAATAGTGTAAAAATTGAATAAAACGCCCCTTTATATAAAAAAATATTTGGAATGCATAGGCGTACTCAAAAAAAAATAGGAGGTACATGTGTACTGCAACCCCTGTCCCCTCCAATCGCCCTTGGATATTTTAAACCAAAATTACACAGAAAGTGTACCGACTTAAGATCAAAATATGTAGTAAATTTCAAATAAATATCTCTACAATCACCGGAGTTATTAATAAAAATATTTTTTTTAATTATAATTTTGACACCCTGTAGATATTTTGAAAATGGGGCTCCGAAAGAAAAGTCCCATTAGTTTAGTCCAAAGAATATCTGGTTAACGGGTTAACCTACTAATTTGTATATAAAATTTACAAGAAATCGAATTTTTAAATAGTTTATTTAATTAATTTTGTATATTTTAGCTGTGTATGATGCTTTTGATAACTCATTTTTTTTTATAAACTTTCCCTTATTAAAACATTCAAACGCAACCCAAACTTTGGAAACATCACACGTAACTTTCATTCCATCCAGATACTATGTTTCCACTTTTGTATACAAACTACCGAAACTTTTTGTTTTCTCTCCCCAGAGTTTCGTGACAAGTGCAGTAATGTTGAGCTCGGCAAGCTGCGGCATGCCAGTCGGATATTCCGCCGTTCTACTTCCTCAACTTAAACTTATTAACGATTCCATGCAAATAGATGACGAAATAGGATCGTGGATAGGTGAGTACAAATCAGTAGCAGCATGACACAGTGAATATATTTCATACGTAATGTTTTGCTTTGGCAACAGATGTTAATATAATGTCCAAAGTTGTGTTCTTGAAAAGTCGTCAGTCGTCCCTAATACGTTCGTACTTGCTAATTGAGTAACTGAACTAAAGTAACTACAAAAAATGAACAGGCATTTGACGAATGACTATAATTTTTCTCTATATATCTACTAAGAACTTTACAGGCGTAAGTCTTATGACACAAAAACAATGGAATTAATAGATTCGGACTATCCTGAAATTTTATAGGTTATCTTTTACATGCAGCCACCTGTATGGTTTTAATCTTAATTTGAGCATATTCCCTGACAATGCGTTATTGTAATCTAAAAGTAGACTCTAGTTAAGTTACGTATGATTACGTTACGTGACCAAAAATAAGAAAGTTCCTATAAACCTATGTCCGAAAATGCTTCGTTTCGGAGATCCAGGGTGTTGAAATTTAGAGAAAATGCAAGGTTTTTACTAATATTTGGAGAACCCTAATACCGATTTTTTTGAAATTTGGTATGTCGGTAGACGTCTTCTGACGTACTTTAGCTGCTCACTGCTGTTGATATTAATAAGTAAACATATGAGACGTCACTGCTTTTTCTTAAGTGTCATATGTTTTTCTAATTATGCGATAAAAAATACAACTTTTTTGTCTTTACTTTTTTGATATCTTGCTACGTTTTCGAGCAAAAAATTTATAGCTTAAGTGTGTGATTTTAATAAGTACTTGAACTGTGTAGTTGTCAATTCCTGCTTGTCAAAATGAATTACACAAATAGTGAAATCTGCGATATGCATTTTCTTTATGGCCTTGTCAACGGTAGGTAATGCATTAGCCGCCAGGCGTCTCTATGAGCAGGAATACCCTAATCGTATAATTCCTCATCATACTATCTTCACCCGTCTTCATCAACGTCTTAGTGAAACTGACCGCAGGAAATAGGCGACCAGCACAGCAAT